AAAATCAGTTTGGGGTGTCTATTAAAACTTTACGAAGTGATAATGCTGGAGAATACTTTACAACTCCTTTATCTAACTTTCTTGATTCAGCGGGCATCCTCCATAAGTCATCTTGTCTCGATACTCCACAACAAAATGGGGTATCTTAACGTAAAAATCGGCATCTCGTTGAAACAGCCCGCACCATGATTCTTCACTATAAAGTCCCTCCAAAATTCTGGGCAGATGTTATCCTTCATTCCTGTTATTTAATAAATCGTATGCCTTCATCTGTTTTACATGGTAAGATACCTTATAATATTTTATTTCCCGATAAGCCCCTTCACTCTTCCTTTAAAAATTTTCGGGTGCACCTGTTTTGTCCGGGACACTACCCCAGGGCATGATAAATTTTCCCCAAAATTCTTAAAATGCATGTTTGTTGGGTACACTAGATTGCAAAAGGGTTTCAGATGTTATTCCCCTGATAAGCATCGATTTTATGTATTTTTTGATGTTACTTTCTTTGAATCCACACCTTTCTTTTCGTCTAGTTTACCGACCTCAATCTCTCATTTTCCTGATGTTCTTCCTGTTCCTACTTTTCAAGGAGGGACCGAGGTACATTTACCTCAAGATCCGTCATCACCTAGAAATTCTAGTCCCTCACCTACTGAACCTCCTTTACAAAACAACAGTGTTACCCCCTTTCCTTACACTCATCTTCGCCGCTCTCGACCACCCGCGACAGTTCAAATCGATGAAATCCCAACTGATTCATCTCTCGAGCTATCTATGCCCTCGAACCCGGTTCCGGCACAAGCTCTCCCATCGCAAGTCGTGTAGGTAACAGGTCATCACGAAATCCCTTTCCCATATACAACTTTATTTCATATGATCGTCTCTCACCTTCATATAATGCTTTTATCACATATTTATCTTCTGTTTCTGCCCCTAAATCTGTTAAAGAAGCCCTTTCCCACCCTGGTTGGCGTCAGGCTATGGTTGATGAAATGGCTGCTCTTCATTCATCGGGGACTTGGGAGTTAGTTCCATTACCCGAAGGTAAAACAACTGTTGGTTGCCGATGGATCTATACTGTGAAAGTTGGGCCCAATGGACAGGTTGATAGACTTAAAGCTCGACTGGTAGCCAAAGGATATACACAGGTTTTTGAGATTGATTACACTGACACCTTTTCACCAGTAGCTAAAATTTCTTCGGTCAGAATCTTTCTTTCTATGGCTACCGTTCATCATTGGCCCTTGCATCAGTTAGATATTAAAAATGCCTTTCTGCATGGAGATTTAGAGGAAGAAGTCTACATGGAGCAACCTCGTGGGTTTGTTGCTCAGGGGGAGAGTAACTTGGTTTGTAAGCTCAAACGTTCTCTCTATGGTCTAAAACAATCTCCTCGTGCCTGGTTTAGACGGTTCAGCATAGTAGTGCAAAATTTTGGTTTAAATCGAAGCAAAGTTGACTATTCCGTCTTTTATAGACATCAACATGGTAAGAGCATTTATCTTGTTGTATATGTTGATGATATTGTCATTACAGGAGATGATGATGAAGGAATACAATTGTTGAAACAACATCTATTCCAACATTTTGAAACAAAAGATCTCGGGAAGTTAAAATACTTTTTGAGAATTGAAGTAGCACAATCCAAGCAAGGAATTTGCATATCACAAAGAAAGTATGCATTGGATATACTAGAAGACACAGGTATGATGAATTGTAAACCTCTTAGACACTCCTATGGATCCAAATATCAAACTCCTACCAGACCAGGGGGAGCTTATCCAAGATCCAGGAAAATATAGACGATTGGTTGGAAGATTACTTTATTTAACTGTAACTCGACCCGATATCTCTTTTGCGGTAAGTGTTGTTAGTCAGTTCTTGGCATCTCCACGTGAAAGTCATTAGGAAGCTGACATTCGGATTTTACGATATATTAAAAAATCTCCAGGCACTGGTTTGTTATACAAAGACCATAGAAACCTTGAAATTATTGGGTACACAGATGCAGATTGGGCAGGTGCATGGGATAGAAAATCAACATCTGGATATTATATCTTTCTTAGTGGAAACTTAATCTCTTGGAAAAGTAAAAAGCAAAATGTTGTTGCTCGATCAAGTGCAGAAGCCGAATATCGATCTATGGCCGTTGGAACATGTGAAATTGTGTGGTTGAAAAACCTCCTTACCGAACTGCAGATTTGTACAAAGGAGTCCATGAAGCTCATTTGTGATAACCAAGCAACTTTGCATATTGCATCAAATTCAGTTTTTCATGAAAGAACAAAACACATTGAAATTGATTGCCATTTTATTCGAGACAAAGTTACTTCTGGAGATATTACTACATCTTTTATAGGCTCAAATAATCAATTAGCTGATATATTTACTAAAGCTTTAAGAAGTCATAAGATTGAATACATTTGTAACAAGCTTGGTGCATATGATATACATGCTCCAGCTTGAGGGGGAGTGTTGAAACACAAAAGTTGTGTCTGTAGAAATATAGCTGTTGAAGTTATGTAGGGTTGTGTCTGTAGGATTGTGTCTCTTAGTCTGCATATATTTATCTGTTGTCTCCCCATTGAGACAAGCAAGTAATACAATATCATCTACATCTTTCTCAACAATTAACTTCCCCAACCACGGTGAAAAAGCTTCCCCAGAAACAGCTGGCACAGATAAGGAAGAAACCGCCCAAACACGCTAAACATATGAACATTCACACAAAGTTAATCATGCATGGTGTGTTCCTCCCTTTCTCCACATAAAGGACATTCTGGTGGAATCTCTACCCTTCTCCTCCTTAGAGTAACAGTAGTACACAAGATGTTCCTAAGAGCTCTCCAGATTAGGGATGTCAATTCTCCCGTCCCACATGGGGATCCCCAATCCCTGCCCCCACGAGGATGGCGATTGGAAAAAAATTTGAAGAACGGGAGTGGGGATTGGGAATGTTTTCAATTTCCCGAGAGGGACGGGGGTTGGAGTGGGGATACCCTCATAATAAGTGTTTGTTTTTATTGTTGTTTCAATGTTGGCCATATTAGCTCCTGGTAAGGGTTATATATGCACATAAGCTTTTATGTAATATGGCACATTGTTGTCCAACTATGGTTTTCTTCACATTTTATACTAATCATTCAAAACACATATTACTTGTTAAATTTCCTGATGTAATCTAGAGTGATTGCTACACAATTTTTTCTAGTTGTTCATGAGGCAAGTATGCTAAACATATAGGTTTCATATACTTGTTTACATAGCATATAACTTTGGTGATCTTTCGATATTTTAACCAAGTGTACATTTTTACTCTTTAATCGGTCAATAGAATTAACCCTTTACTTTTGATCAAGCCCCAAACATACAAATGTTGTATTAAGATACATGGTAGACATCATGTCTCAGCTCATAAAAGAAAGAGATGAAGTCTCACTAGATTTTCAGGTGAGGGTATCAAGAATGGACACTTGAAAATATAGTGAGACCTCATCTCTTTTTTCTATGAGCTAAGACATGATATCTACCATGTATTTTAATATCGCATTGGTATGTTTGAGGCTTAATCAAAAGGGAAGGGTCAATTCTAGACTCATTAAAGAGCACAAATGTACAATGTAGCAGAATATTATATTAGTGTGTAAGCATCCAAGGAAGGAAACTGACTTGGTGAAAATATCAAAATTATATGCTACGGAGTATATAATATGAACAACTGTGTATAGCTACCACTCTAGATTACATCAGAAAAGTTAACTACAAATAATAATAAGTGTTTTGAAAGATCAGTATAAAATCTGAAGAAAATCATAGTTGGACAACAATGTATCATATTACATAAAAGCTTATGTGTATATATAACCCTTACTAGGAACTAATATGGCCAACATTGAAACAACAATAAGAACAAACACTTATTATGCAATATATATTATAGTTAAAGGTTTCCGTGGAGAGATACCTGATGATTTTGAGAAACAGTTGGAAAACGTTAACAGCTAACACATAGTCAAAATCCAATAGCATCACACACAACATGTACTTCGCAACAGCTTCAAGAACTCTCAGTCTTACCACAACAGTTACTATCGATGTAATATAACTTTACAAGCGTTGCTATAATCTGAAGGAAAATGACCTGAGCACCAAAAGACAATACTTTTTCAACATAGATTCACATATATGATATATGTTAGAATGCTCAGGTAGAAAGAAATAATAAATAAATAAATACTGAAATTGTTTGCAACATGGCCTAAGTTTTGAAGAAATAAAGTATTAAATACCTCCATTTTTGTATTATTATAGTGTAGAACAGGTGCAGATAAATTCATAATTTCACAGATACAAGATGTTATGTTCTCCCCTCACGGGCAAGACAACATAAGGATAAATGGACAAAGAATAGTAGTTGGGAAAGGAAAAGAAAACATTGGGTTTGCTTGAGAGTTGAGACCCAAAACTCCCTTAGACACTGGGTTTATAATTGCCAACATAATGGAGCATGAGAGTAGTCAAAATGAGTCAAAGTCAGCCTAAATATCAGTATCCTTGAAAAGCAAATTGTTAAGGAATGGCCCTTACCCTTCATCTTGGAAATTCATATTTTAGAAGATAGAAAGTAGGATATTCAGAGGGCAAAAGAGGGAATTTTATGCAACACATAAACTACTGAAATATCTGCACGTTTGGCTTATATACCTTGTGCTTTTTCGTGTTAGGGTCAAAAGAAAAAATCACTCCCTCATAAAACCTTTAAAGAGAAAAGAACAGAAAATATAACAAGAATTGCTTGCACAATTTACAAGACAACTTAAATATTATATCTTAGACTTTAAAAGCAAAAAATTAAAAACACATATTAAAAGAATAAATCAAAGGTGCATAAGCTACATGTTTACAAACTAAATGCAACAATTTGTATATTTACCATAGGATTAAAATAATGTAAATATGATATCTCAAAAGTATTCATCTTTGAGACCTATAACCATAAGTGTCAAATTTATAAAATTGCATTTGAAGTTCAAAAACACAAGCCGATAACAACTGATGGAAATTGTCAAATGTTGTAATCAATGGAACAAATGATGCTTTCCATTTCAATAGGTAATAATGGAACAAGTGAAGCGTTCTATTTCAATGGGTACTAAAACAGTCATTCAGTTTGCCCTTCTTAAGTACTTACCTTCTATCCCGGGGCCACCAGACTTTGACTTTAGCCCCTACCAACTCTTTTCCGTAATCTTTAATAGTATGAAGCTTTTTAGAATCCTGAATATGAATAAAAACCATAAGTGTACACATTTGGTTATTTTGCCCAAAAGAGAGTAATGACATATAAAACAAATAGGGTAAAATGTCATAGTTAGATGCAAAATATCAATGAAATGGCTATACTGGGAACGGAAGTTCATAAATTATACATATTTTATTTACTTTATACAAAATGTCAAAAATAAGCAAATTTTAATGAAGACTAATTATGTATTACCCAATTTTCAGTAGCAAAATAATAGTACTATATAACATTTGTAGTTGCTAAGAAAATTAAAAGATGTCGCATCTTTGAAATGTAATCTTAAGAAAACTGCATTTCATAAATATGACTTGTGGGAAAAGAAAAAAAAAAATTATATTTTCAGTGAAAAAGTTTCACTTGATAAATGCCAAGTTCTTCCATAGTCATAAAGGAAGTTGGATTTAGATGAAAAGCTTTACTTCTTATCTCCTATGAAATGCATCAGACATTCTCCCTAATCCTCACCTGTCACAAACATGATTGCCTCCGTAAAGACTTCATATAGAAAGATTTCAGGCAATTGAGCAGATGTGTTTAAAAATTGGGTTAAAAGCTGCATTCTCTAATGCGGATTTTGATTGGATGAATATAGTAAAGTCTTCCAAAAGACACATTAGGAAAATGAAGCTTTAAGAATTCTCATTTCCAAAATGTGTCTCCGGACATTTTTTTTCTTTCTATTAATAATCCAATAATAATCCAAAATGAATTACTCACCATCCCATTTGTGCCCCTTTTACAATTCTCTCTGCCAATTTAACCAAGCTTATGTTTTTATACTAATAAATTGAATTTTGAAAATAAAAATTTATATTCTGGAGTAATAACTAATAAGTATATGTTCAATAAAATACATAAGAAATGGTACTTGCCTAATTTTTAAAGAATTCTGCTATATTGGAACATAAGAGATGATCATATTAAAAACAACTTTTTTTTGAAACAAAGTAGAATGTGACCCTTCTCAAGGCAGACAAAGAGAATCAACTAATATTGTTTCAATAAGTTCAACACACATCTAGGGTTGCACTCATTGGAAAGTGCAATAATATGGTATGATCTTTTATGCATCCATTTTGGGTACACTTGTCTAGGAGTTACCTCAAGTTCAACATATGTCTAGGAGTCACTGGTTGCAAGAAGGATAACATGATACTAAGTTTTTAATTTTTTTTTGGGTACATTAATGGGGCCATGAGAGACAGTGTTTTCCAGTAAGAAATTCTAAACCCTTAATATGGTACTAATTTTATCCCAATTTTTCACTGCAAATTATAAGTTATAATAAAGTTCAATAATGAAATGCAATCAATTCAATACAGGTTAAGGCAAAGTTGAGTTTGTTGCGATAGCCCTTCACGGTGACGTCGTCCTGACTTCTGAGTAAGATTGCGGCATTAGTTTTTCAAACAACAGCCAGAGATACATCGGGACAAGAACGGTTATCGTGCAGGAGGAAAACAAAATTGATTTGGTAAGAAGAATAAAAAAAGGAATTTTGTTGGTGAAAGGACCCTAGTTTGTTACCATGTGAAGAAAGATACTTGGATTTGATAGATTCAAATGGTTGGTACAACAGAGTATATATACAAGAAACCTAAACTTTAAAAATATGACTCTTCATATAAAACATTACAATGGTACCATTCCTTTGTTTAAAGCTTGCTTCCTCAAGTGTTTAGTTCTTGTGCTTATATTTTGGTGACAATTTCGTTGAAGCGATGACTTCTCTCAAGTTTGCATCATTGGCTATTTCTTTTTCCTTCTTTATACATACAGTCAAACTAGGATATGCCTCATTCTTGCATGAACTCCTCCCACGATTTCCCTTGGAAGGCCTAGTTGCTTCAAATCTCTTTCTCATAGTGAGATATGTGAAATCAACTTTTCCAACTGTCTTGCATAGGTTCTTGTTCTAAGAATCGCCAATGGTGTTCCATTGTCCCTTTTTCGCTAAATTTTGGTCTTTTATGAAATTTAAAGGATTTTTGGATCCGTTGTCAAGTTTCTTTCCTGAGGGTGTTCAATTTTGGTATTACCATATTTGCTTCTTCATTTTCAATGTGCCTTATTTGTTCCCTGAGGGTGTTTAATTTCGGCACTATAATATTTTATGTCCTGAGGCCATTTATTATTTCTCAAGTTTCAAGAAAGGGGGGGTAGGGGAGTATTACCATGAACCACGCATGTTTTGTTCTTTCATTGCTATGGGGCTTCTCTTTATCGCTTTGGCTATCTTCATTGCTATGGACCATATGTACCCATTTATAACTCCTGCTCCATTTCACCTCTACTGCTCTTGATGAAGGCTTTTTTACATTTGTTCAAGAGTGTTTGTGTCACTTTGTTACCTTGAGCTTGTTCGTGTTCAAATCCATCCTTGATGCTTTCAACTTCATTTCCAAGGGTTGTGTATAGTGCCATGTCTTCCGACGACATTCAACACTATTATCCTCTAGCGGCATTTAATCTTCATTTGTAATTTTGAGTTAGGTGGAGTGTTTGTTTTAATTCAAGCGTGGAACTTCTAGATATTCCAGCTTGCGGGGAGTGTTGAATAATAGGAAGCCTTAGTCCTATTCCTATTAGGAGTAATCTTGATTTCCTATTCAAGGTAGGAGTGGTTTAACCCAATGTTTCTATAAATATAGAATCTCTATACACTCTATACCGTTCAAGAAACATAGAGAGACAATCTATTATTATTAACATAATCATATATTCTCTCTATTCCAAGTATTCTCACATATTTTGCTTCCGCTTAGTCACCACCCACTAGGCTTTTCAATCCCTCACAATGAACACACTCGTTGGAAAGTGCAATAATATAGTATTACCTTTTATGCATTCTTTTTTGGTACACTTATGGTGGAAAGGATTTACTGCTGAGATACCCCAAGTTCACCATATGTCTAGGGGTGCACTGGTTGCAAGAAGGAGAATATGATACTAAGTTCCTAATTTTTTTATTTTCATGGAATACATTAAAATAGAGGACAGAATTTAGCAGTAAGATATCCTAAACCACTAATATGGTACTAATTAGAGATAGAAGAGAAAGAGGCAGATGGAAATTTAAGTTTTAATAGAACTCAATAAAGAGATGCAAACCAATTAGTTATGGGTTAAGGCAATGCAGAAATATAATGAGTAGCAAACTGAATAGATAGAATCACAAAGATTACTCTAACCAGAAATCTAGAGAATCTGCAAGCACCATTACAGTAGTACCTTTTCTTTAAGTTTTCTCTGGGCAGACCTAGTCCCTTCATATCTCTTTTGCACGGTGAGATCCGTCTTATTCTTCTTTGGTTGGCCCCTTTTGCAAGGACTTTTTGTGCTGCTGGGGGCTAACACATCAGGCTTAGTCACAGACTCCTTTCCAGTTACAGCTGGCAAAGCTAACACAATTGAAGTTGCATTAATGTCCAATGAACTTCAAGATTTCTTCTCTTGTTCCTTCTTGATAGTAGGTTCTTCATCAGAGCGTTTGCTTTTGTTCATCCCAAAAGAATCATGTCCCTTATCAGGTCTTATCTTCTCTGACAGTGCACTCAGGTCCATTTGTTGTTGCAACTCTTTTGTATTTTTATGCATGGGATCAGACGGTGCATCAGTATCTTTTTAGCTGTTCAGCCTGATTGCGATTGTTTAATGCCTTCAATGACCCATCAGGTTCCAGGTTATTGTTATTCATTGTTGGAGTGGCATCCAATAGTGGTACCTGAGGAAGTTGAAGAGCAGATATTCCTTCTACAGGTGGTCCTCCCACAAACACAGAAGAATATCATATTCATCATATCTCAATGTAGAATGGCAAGTGACAGCATAAAACAAGCAGATCATATGCCCATGACTGCATTGAGTGGCAATTTGAAGGGTCAATTCTATAGACTCAGTAAAGAGTACAAATGTACAATGTAGCAGAATATTATACTATAGTGTGTAAGCTTCCAAGGAAACTGACTTGGTGAAAATATCAAAATTATACGCTATATGATATGAACAACTAGAAAATACCTGATGATATTGAGAAACAGTTGGAAAACGTTAACAGCTAACACATAGTCAAAATCCAATAGCATCACACACAACCTGTACTTCGCAACGGCTTCAAGAACTCTCAGAGCCTTAATATAGTAGTTACTATCAATGTCATATAACTTTTCAAGGGATGCTATAATCTGATGGAAAACGACCTGAGAACCAAAAGATGATATTTTTTAAACATAGATGCACATATATGATATATGTTAGACTGCTCAAGTAGAAAGAAATAATAAATAAATAAATAAATAAATAAATAGATACTAAAATTGTTTGCAACCCGGCCTAAGTTTTGAACATATAAAAAGTATTAAATACCTCCATTTCTGTATTATCATAGGGTAGAACGGGTGCAGATATTCTCATAATTTCACAGATACAAGATGCAACAGAAACCTCAATGATTTTATCAGAATGTCTCAGAAGTTTCGTTTCAATCAGCACTTTTTTAATTGGCTCAAGTACATTTCTCATCGACACTGAAGGGTCTTGCCCTATGCTCTTCAGTTCTAATTCAGCTTTCTAAAAGAAAATGCAATGCAACAGAAGAGTTAAAACAACAGTAGTAAACATATAATGTCCAGATGAGGACTGTAGTTTTGAGTGTGTGTGTGTGTAATTCAACATGTCAGTTCCTAAAAACATATATGAATAAACTAGAGATGAAAGCATAAACATTTCTAAATAAAACAACAACATAAGAATTAATCCTTTCAGCCAGGAAAAGAGACCCTAAAATTTTATAATCATTTGCCTGGTGAACAAATCCCATCAATGAAAACCAATCCAAGCATAATTGAACCTTTATATGCAAAAGAAAAGGGAAAGAATTTTACTTCAAGGAGGCTGAGAAGCTCGCCAGTGGATGAAGGAGGTGTAGAGAGCTCAATTCCAGACTCAATGAGCATCTCCTCAACAGCAGCAGGAGGAGAAGCCATCATTCTCAGCAAACAGAGTTCTCCCCTCAATCAAGACTGAAAACCCTAGAACTAAAGAACCCAAATTGTACTTCATTCGAAAAGAGGACCCGCAGACACCCAATCCAGCAAATGTAAATCCAGATAAAGAAATTCTGAATTGGAGTTGACAAAGCGGATAAAGAAATGCTGAATTGGAGTTGATAAAGAACGTAACCAACGGTTTGTGTGTGGATTCCTGCTCATTTATGCGTGGTTGTACAATGTTGAGTTTGGAATCCGTGTAGTCCTGCCTGGATTCTTCTGCTTTTTGCGTGATTAATTCCATTCCATACCAAACAAAATCCATATGCGCTTCTAAGTCGCGCTCTCAAGAATCAACTACCAATTGTCGCCAAAGCTCTTCAGAGGGTTTTTGAATTTTTGTCTTTGGAGGCAAAGGGCCTTGGAGATGGCCTTGAATGTCTCAGATAAAATATAGGAAAATTTACACTTTCCCCCCTAATATGTTATACTATTTTTCCTTTTGAATTATTCATACATTCATATTTGTTCTCTCAATTTTTTTAAAATTGACATTTTTTGTTAGTAACATTATTTACAGATATTATAATTATAATTTTAAATTATGTTAGTAACAAAATTAATACTTAATAAAAATTTAGTAATAATAGATTATATGTGTTTAAGTCTTAATTTTGTTGCTAGCATTATGTTAAAATTATAATTACGGAGTATAATATATGTAAATGGTGCTTGTTTTTTGCATTTATTTTGATTCTCATATATAAACCAGTTTTCACCTTGGGAGGAACATTACTTTTTCATATTGAGACCCAATCTTTCTTGTTATCAATATTCTGCTCACCCACAAGAGCCTTGTAACAACTGTTAACGGTAAAGTGACCTCAGTCTTCCCTCATCCAAATTAGTTTATCATCTCTTTTGAACATGGGCATGGGAATGTTTGTGATGAGAGTGGCGTCACGATGGTTAAATATATTTTGAATTGTGTCCACGTCCGAACTTTGATCTTAGTTGTTGAGGAGGGAGGAAACAACAACATTTTCCAGAAAGGGAAATGTGGCGTGGTGATCTGTGGATTTGAGGGATCACGAAGTCATATGTCTCTCCAAATATTAATGGATTTACCATTACCAATCCTCCAAGAGTTATGATATGTGGATTTGAGGGATCACAAAGTCATATGTCTCTCCAAATATTAATGGAGTTACCATTACCCATCCTCCAACAGTTATGATTTCTGATGATCTCCTTGGTGGTTAATTAAGAGATTGTTCCAAATAAAGGATGGGTTGCTGTTACTTCTAACATCTAAGAATGAGGAGCTTGGGTAGTATTTTGCTGGGAAGACTCTTGCAACAAGGGACGAGGGGAATTGAATGAGTCTCCAAGCTTGCTTGCATAACAGTGCAACGTTAAAGAGGTCCAATTTCCGAAAGCCAATACCACCCCAATCTTTGGGAATACAAAATGTGTGACCAAGATTTCCATTGAATATCGTTACGATTGCAATATTTGCTCCCCACCAAAAAACATTCATAGCACATTCAATCTCTTTCACGTTCTCCTTTGGTATTTGAAATACACTCATAGCATAGGAAGATAGTGCTTGTATCACACTTTGTATAAGAACTTCTTTTCTGGCTCTTGATAAGAATTTGTGATTCCAGTTGCTGATTCTGCTGAGAACTTTATTTTTAAGGAATCCTAAAATATCCTTTTTGTTTCATTCTACTACAAGTGATGATAAGCCGAGATAATTTATAGAATTCCATATCTCTCCAATCTCCATAATGATGCATATCATACATCTTAGATTGTCATTAACATTAAGGCTGAGAAAAATTAAGAGTTGTGTTATTCACATTCAAACTTTTCTCCTTCCAACAAAGTGTTTCACGTTTCACGTCTCAAAATGAAATGGTCTCACACACTTATTTTTTTTTCTCTACCCATCAATTGTAAGTCATATTATGAAAGAATTTATGAGATATAAAAAACATTTTCTCCATATTAAATTATTTGTGAAATAATATAATAACTATTTTCTCCCAAATATAATAATAACTATCTTATAATAGCCAATGAAAGTTATATTACTCAACTAGTATTTGTCTCGTGCGATGCACGAGAAATATGTTATAAAAATATACTCTATATGAGATTTATTCATATATAAAAATTTTATTATTTAATAATTATTATGTGTGAATTGCCATGATAAAATTATGAACATATATAAATATATGGGATAAATTGATGGGATAAATTCAACCTAAGTATAAGTTTGATTCAAGTTTTATCTATTGGTCTGAATTTTGGTTAGTAATTGAAGTGGTACGCATCACATGCAAGCTAAGGTAAAGGGCTAGAATGAGAATAGAGTGGTGGAAGCTAATGTTGAGCAAGCTACCTAATCACAACACCAGTGTTAAGCATATGTATGAATTAATCCTCTTTACTTTATGATTGATGAAATGACATTTAAAAAAAAAAATGATTTACATCATGTATTAATTATTTAATACCCAACGATGATTTTGTTGAATTGATAAGTCGTGAAATCTCTTAACATGAAATTAAGGCTTTCAAAAGGTGAATGTCCACAAAGAACAATCTTTGGCAATGTATTAAACTAGTGAAAGTGAGTTTGTGATTTTTATTTTTTTTTTGAAAACCTGAGTTTGTGACTTGTGTAAATATAACAATTTTGCATGCATTTACAGATATGTTACCATTACCGAAGTTATAGAGCCATTTTTTTCATGCTTTTCCCGAAGGTCTAGAGAAAACTACAATCAATAGGATTTCCCTAATTCTCCCTTCCCGAAAGGAAGAGCGTGAAATCCTTTTTTCTTTCCACAGGGACCAGGAGATTGGATCTAGCCGTAATGCTTGGTATAAATAACTCACTTCTTGGTCTTCGACCCCCTCAATCACTACATCAGTGCACATCAATGCAATGGGATGTGTCTATTTATCAGTGAAATGGGAGCAGGTTTGAAAAAGGATCTTAAGAGTGCTTGTTCACCCCTTCTTCCTTACCCTGGCAAGACTCCGATGAAAAAAAGGTGTTACCTCCTGGCCCAGGTGAACAAGCACACTTGGAGAGCGCTTGACATATTTATATGATGTATTTTTAAATAGACATATTTAAATAAGTAAATTTAAAAAGGTATGTGTGTCAAAACAATAATTTTTCGTTTGCAATGTTTATACCTATAATTGCATCAAGAAGTTGAACAATGGTATAGTAAAGTGCATATCACTACCTGCCCCGAAACAAAGCCTGATTCGAGCCCAGGTCTCCACGAACACAACGTACACTAAACTACACCACTTTTGTGTCTTATTTTTAAAAGTGTTTGCAATAATTATTTCAATTTGATTGCATTAATTTTGAAATGTAAAAGGCTAATTACAAATTTAATTATGTATGATATAAAATGCAATTGATGTGGTGTTGGGTCAAAGGAGTGAGTTAACTCGGGCTTTCATTGTGAGTTTGGAGTAGGTATATTAAGATTGAGCTCCCTGAGTGCTCCCTCAAATGTATATGAAATTTAGCTTTATGTCTATGACGACAGTCTATTATCCAAGTTTATATGGAAAAAAAAAAAAAAAAGGAAAGAGCTAATACTGTCCAAACTAGGTAGAACAAAAGGAAAGAGCTAATAATGTCCAAACTAGCTCTAGAGCATAAAGGTGGAAAGATGAGTGGCTCCTAGTTTGGTGGTGGGAAGAAGATCTCCTCTGCAGTCCTCTTGGAGCTGAACTCTTTCTCTACCTCTGCAGGAACATTGAAAGCCGCCTGGAGAACTTGAGGCGATAATGCCTTCCACACCGAGGTTCTTCCCGCCAGATGAGTGAAAATGGGGCTGCAATAAAACCCGATTTCTTTCCATTAATGCCAATAAAATGTTAGGATGGTTGAATGCTAATCGAATTTACGGGAATACTTACTTGGGTGTAGTGATGATGGAGAACCACTCCAAGCCGTCGGGAGCCGAAATCTTGGAGACAACGAAGAACCTTGGCACGATGAACAAGTTTCCGGCTTTGACCGTCGTTTCCAAGACGCGCTTGCCATCCACACCAACAACCTGAGCACGACCGCTCCCTCTCACAATGTAGGTCACCTGTAGGGCCGAGTCACAGGACATGCCCGGGGAGCACATGGCGTTCCCGTTCAACCTCACGAGGTCGGCACCGAGCCCGACCTCACCAACCAAGGGCAGGTTCTTGGTGTTCAAGACCACGACTTTCCCACCATCCTTGATGTCAACATCCAAGGGAGCTTCCTCGCAGTTCAGTGCCATGCCCTTCCTGTGGTCCGGATTCGGCTCGGGCATCTTGGCACCCGCATCGAGCTTCACAATGCCTTTACCAGCTTGGCTCCCAACAAGCTTCTTAACCACACCTTCGTCCACATTCCACGCTCTACCCACAAACTCAGTCGAAAAGCCAGTAAAGATACCGTTTGAGCCGGTCAAATAGAAGTCGGTGAATGAACCAGGTTTGTGAGCTGTTTTTGTATCACCGAGGAAGAGAACTACAAGCTCGGTATCCATTTTGTTGTACCACCACGTAACAACGCCAAAAGGAAGAGCAATCGCATCGCCCTTCTTAATGGGGATAACCTTCTCTTCTTTCTCAGGAAGGACAATTCCAGCAACTCCACTGCCTAAAACAGGATCACAAAAAAGGAACTTCAGATACAAATTACCCATTATCTCTCAAGCTCAATTCCCATCAAAGAGTTTAGAAAAGTAAAACAAATTGGATCATAAACCCAAGAAACTCTACTCAAAGGAAGAGGTAAAACTCTCTGGGTACTACCCTATCATGCTGCAAATTTCTGTTAAAACTGTTTTTATCCAGAGATGTAATCCAGGGTTTTCAGACAACTCTGTTAGTGCCCAAGTGATAGATTATGAGCAAAACACAGAAAAAAAAAACAAAAAAAACAAAAAAAAAAAAAAAAGCAGAAGTATTTGATGAGAAAAAAATAAATAAATAATTGGAAGCATCCAAAAGTGTGATCATAAATCAGAACCCAAAGAAAGCAAAAAATCAACAATCAACAGAAAACAGTGATCCAAGGATGGGGCAAGAGCAAGCCCAGATTTATTCAACCAACAAATCAATAAACAGAAAATGCCAATTGATCAAGTAGCAAAAGCAAGAATGAAGAGCACATGCATAAATTCAAAAACAGATTATACCTTGAAGAACATAGGCAACCCTGGCGGAATCACAGTAAGAAGGAAGAGCAAAGCCATACTGCTCAAGAGCAAGCTTGGCGGCGCCTATGTTCCCTTGGCAGAGCATGGGGAGCTCCTCCGGGCACCAGGCGTGATAAGAACCGCCATCTCCACCGTATACCTTCTTGGCCAACTTTGGGGAAAGATCAAGATCCATTTTTCTCTCA